GAGGAAAAATCCTAAATAGTTTGTGTTAATCATTAAACTTGCCCTAGAGTTGGCTCTGAACTTTTACTTTGGCGTACGTTTGGCCAGGACAAACAAGTTAGGTGAGTTACAGTCCAACATGAGTGAGTTACCTGCACGGTAGCTGCGGGCTGGGCTCTAACCAGATAACAAGGCCACCGTTTCTTGGCAGAGAGGAATAAGATCATTTGGAGAAGAAAGATAATTTCTCCCTTGAGTCACAACGAGAAAGAAACTGAAAAAAGGTACTGTTTGATCAAAAATGTCTCTGCTCTCTGTTTTCTAAGTATTGCATCTCTTGCCAGTGTCGTGGGGAACAAAAGGAAATGGGCATCTGTAGCAGTAACCTTGCAGCTCCGTTTTGCAAAGTTCCCCAAGAAAGACTATAAGGGGAGGGAGGAAAAGAGGATGAAGAAAATGGAGAAGAGAGAGAGAATATTAGACCAAATGCACACGGCTGTCCTCTGGTTGAAAATTTCCTGGTTAAAAGAATTAAGTGGAGGCTGAATTTATCCTTAGGAAGAACTTGTGGGTTAACCATATTAAGAAAAATTGCGTTCATTATTGATTTGCTCTATTCAAGAGGAAAAGATGCAAATCTGAACATAAGGCTTTAAGAAAACCAGTGTGTGAATATCTACTTCCATTGTTCTAAGCTTGGGAGTAATTGCTGAAATATGTTAAATTTGTACAGCCAGATTGAAAATAGACTCCTGTGTTGGGGATATTCTGTTGGGTGGAACAAGTAAGTTAGATCCTGTGCTTTGGGACTAAGTAGCAAATACTACTGAGTACCTTCCTCTATGCAGTAGGGGTCTTTCTTAAAAATCATTGTTTTAAAAATGAATTCCATTCCAAATAGATGTAAGCATTTAGGGACTATTGAAGTTTAAAGGAACAGCTGTTTGTTTGTTTTTTTTTAAATCAGTTTTATGTGTCTGTTTTTCCAGCTCCTAGCACAGTGCCCAGGGTCTATTAGGCATATAATAAAAGTTTGTGGATTTGAATTAAATATAGATGATTTTATATAGTGTTGGACTATCTTAATCAGGACATATCTATAAGTTAATTTTAAGATTTATTTTCCAAATATGTTTTCTGGGCATTTATTGTGGTTTTTATATTGTCTGAAATGGTGTAACTATTTTTCCTAGTCTTAGTGTTTTCTTAAAAATTAAATGAATCTTTAGTGACGTGTATATGTATTTAATTCTGTTAATTTTTTAAACTTTCAGAAAGTTTTAGAGCCAGTATTTTTTTAAAATATATATTTGATTTAAGAGAGGAAGGGAGTGGAATAGAGAAATAGAAACATCAATGATGAGAGAGAATCATTGGTCGGCTGCCTCCTGCACACCCCCAACTGGGGACTGAGCCCACAACCCGGGCATGTGCCCTTGACCGGAATCGAACCCAGGACCTTTCAGTCCGCAGGCCGATACTCTATCCACTAAGCCAAACCAGCTAGGGCTAGAGCCAGTATATTTTTTTAAATCTATATTTTATTGATTTTTTTTTCAGAGAGGAAAGGAGAGAAATAGAGAGTTAGAAACATCGATGAGAGAGAAACATTGATCAGCTGCCTCCTGCACACCCCCTACTGGGTATGTGCCCACAACCAAGGTACATGCCCTTGACTGGAATCGAACCTGGGACCCTTCAGTCTGCAGGCCGACGCTGTATCCACTGAGCCAAACCTGCTAGGGCATAGAGCCAGTATTTTTCATAGTATTATATTCGTGCCCTCTGAGTCGGGGGTGCCAGGGAGTCGCTTAGCAGCCTTTCCAGAGCAGGCATCAGGGTGTTATCTAAGGCATCTGGCTTTTCAGCCAGGCTTCGTGAGTTCTGCCCATCCCGTGTATGTGTAAGTTATTTCAGATTAGGTGAACCCAGGCTATTATTTAAATATGTATTCACCAGTTGGAATTGACTGTGTGGGGCCTTGGCACTAAGAGGGTTGTGGAAATACAAGTCCTTGCAGAGGAATGGACGGGCTACAAGAAGAGGCATGTATGTGTGGCATTGCACCATCTGGTCCAGGCTGCACAGGCACAAGCTAGAGGTTCAGGGAGGAAAGGGCAAGGAGAGCTGGAATGGCTGGGTGTTGGGGAGGATGTGATTGCAGACTGACCACCTCGTTGGACCTGGCAATCGGAGGCTTTTCAACCTCTGCTGTCCTTGGAATGTATTGTTGGGCACTGATGCCCATCTAGAGGCTGGAACTCCAGTTAGAAAGTAGGAAGAAGAGCTGAGGTTAGAGAAGGACTTGCAGTTGTCCACACTGGGGCTAGCAGACAAGGTGTGCGAGCAGGATAATAAGTTGGAGAGCTCAGCATGCTGTCTTGCAAAGCTAGGGCGACCAGGCTGCCTTAAGATCTGAACTCTGTGACAAAGCCCGATTGGGACGCTAAGATGCAGAATCCCTGGGAAAGTGAGGGGAATGAAGGGGAGGATGTTGTGGTGATTGAGCGAGTGAAATGGAAGAAATGCCTCATGCTGTCTAGTACTGAGGGAAGCAAAAGCACAGCAACAACAGCCTAAGTCACGTGGGCAGCCCCCAACTCAGGAAATGTGCGTGATGAGAGAATATATTCCTTCTGAGCTTACTGATAGAGCTACCAACTTCCAGTAAAAGCCCAAGGAAAGTATTCAGGTGTGATTAGTGCAGCTAAAGACTGGGGGTTGGGTGGTGGTGATGGTGGCACTTTTCTGATCTGGCAGGAGGCAAAAAGAAAAAAGAAGAAAGAAAGAACATCACCACATACCCCACCCTCTGGCAGAGTCTGCACGGTGGAGAAGGAGGTGGGGTTCAAGGATCCCACTTCCTTATAGATTGGATTATTCTTGCCCTACAGAGCAGGCAATGAGGGTAATCTCCGTAGGCCTGTCATACCCTGGAAATCTGTAGAGGAGGCACAAATAATTCTTAGGGACACAGCCTTCAGAGAGTAAGATATTGTTGAAACCATCTGGATGGTACATGGGACTGAACGCAGTTACGGTCTCTATATAAACTTTTAAGATTCTCCTGGGTGGGTGTAGAACTCTACTCACCTTGCTGCCACCAAGACAAGCCTGTATGTAAGTCCCCTTGCTTACTAAACCTGCCGCCTACCAATTTGGAGTGCTCTGTGTTTCTTCCATCTCTCCTTGCCTTCTGGGTTCGGGCCTCAGTTTATGAACCAACACCAGGGATGGGTTCTGTGGACGAAGCGGCTCCTAAGCTGGGCCGTGCAGGAGTTTGGGGAATCTAGGAAGCAACTAGTGGGAGCCAAGGCGGAGGCTGACATGTGGAAGGCCTGTCTGAGAGGCCGTGGGGAGAACTGCCTGGCTGCAGTGCAGGGTTCACACTGGGGAGCCACGCCAGGGTCAGTTGGAAAGGTACTGAAAGGTCCGAGAGAGGGCTTTCCAATGGAAGTACAAAGCCCTTGAAAGAAAAGCTAACTTTTGTTGGGCTGCCCCTTTGTGCCAGGCCCTGTGTTAATTTCTTTATGTATATATCACTTCAGTTCATCTTGAAACAAATCCTAAGGAGTATTCTTATCATTTTACCAGTGATGGAGGTTTTGCATTGAATTAAAAAGCTTTAAGCTGTTAAAAAACATTCAAACCTGTAAAGAATTTTTGTGAGTTTATTTGAGCCAAAAGGTCAACAATTGCCAGGAGGCAGAATCTGAGAGGCAGAATTCAAAGGTATTGAGATAGTGCTCCGAAGAATGGCAGTTTTTGCCTTGTTTTATGCATTACAATCAAAGGAGGAGACTTAACTGGGTTACTTGAAATCTATTGGTGATAGATTAAGGAGGCGGAAGAAAGCAAAGGGGAGCGGGAGCAAAGTGGGGAACTTCTGGGATTGGATAAAAAATATGATAGACACATACTTCTTTCCCATAGGAGGGTACAGGATAGTTAACAGTCAACAATTAAGGTGATAACGGTAACAATGAAGGAATTTGTGGTCTCTGCCTGGCACATTAGGTTGTGCCCTGAGAGGTCTGGAAAAAGGGAAGTTACAAGTTACCCTGACATTTCACAAGAATACAAAAGGACAGTAGGCTCAGTAAAGATCAAAGTTTGATCTTTGTTGGAGAAGATACTGACCTAGGATATGACTACCCACTATAAACTGCTTTTTAATGGAAAGGTGTTATTGTAATTTCAGACCATCCTTTGTGGTTACTTTAGGTTTATGAGTTTGCAAGGCCACCATGCAGGCCTTTCTTATGTTAGTCAGGCTAGCTCCTTCTCATCCACAAAGCAGAAGAAGAGCACAATGAAGACAGTGCTTAAGGAAGGTAGGTCTGGCATACTGGGCATTGTGGGATGGGGTGCAGAGGGTCCAGCTTTTCCTTTCTCTGTTTCTTTCCTCCCTTACTCTTCTACTGTGAGGATAACACAATTTTCCCTCAATTCCCATTAGTACCGTATTTCAACCCATTACCATATTTAACATTTACTTTGCTAAAGTCTTCACTTTTTAGGGTTGATATTTTTCTAGAGGACTGACAAACAAACAAACAAACGAAACAAACAAAACCCTCTCCCAAAGCCACCGTTAACTAGTATTTATTTACATCTAGATATAATAGATATCTAGAATTTATTTTTCAAAATTAAGCTTTTGTATAATAATGAGTTAATCAGAGATGTTATTATTTATCCAACTCAAACATGCATACAGTAAGTTGGTGGGATAAGGGGATGGGTGAAATAGTGATGTTTTTATATAAAGTTCATAGATTGTCTTTTTCACCACAGTTTCAGAAGATGGTGGGTCCCTTTGAGTATTCTGTAGTTATATTGGTATCACTTCTTTAATTTCCCAACTTTTAACATAGCACAGTAACAGTTTTTAAGCAAGAAAATATAGTAATTTTTAATTTTATTTTTTATAGAGCGCAAAAGCTATGCTGTTCCAATCAAAACTGAAAATGCTTTTCTGTGTCTGAGCAACTTTGAGAGGATTGACTAAAGTGGATGAGATGATTGCTTGGCTGATCTCTCTGAGAAGTATTGAAATAATACTTTTGGCAAGTAAGTAGGATGTGTTTTGAAGGAATTAATAGATAGAACACGACAGGTTACCTTCAGAACTAGTTTAAGGATACTTAAATATTATTGGGGGGAAGTGTTGAAGTATCTGCCCTGGGTTTAAATTTTCTCTGCTTAATAATAATTTTTTTCTGCTTAGTAGTTGAGGTTATATATTAAATAGTTATGAATATATACATCAATTTTTAATGTCCAGTGTAGGTTGCTTTTATACTCTAGAGCTTATAACTTTCCTTTTATAATTGCTTTTTGGGTCATATGATGTAATTCTTTTTTAGGTTTTATTGTTTTATCTTCCCAAAGGGAGTAACTTATCTTGTCTTAGTGATTAATGACTACTTGTATTAAAATCTCCTTTTTTCAAATTATGTCTCTGTCTCTGTGAATCTGATTATCCTGTGTCATTTTATGGCATTTGTTTTTGGTTTTCTTTAGGTAGAACTATCTAATGCACCCTGGAGGTATAAGCATGGACTGGTCTTCCCGGGGCTGCGATGAATGACTGTTTAGATGTGAATGATTTCATCACCCTTGGTTGTACAGTGTACCATCTGTAAACCTGTACATGGAAGCCCTAGGCTAGCCAGCGTTAGGGAGACCTGGATTATCATTTAATGTTCTTGATATAGAAACTGAAGTGTTCTGTAGATAACACTTTTCCTGTTGACCTCACCAAGTAGCTGAGTGCTTTTTATGGCTTCCTTGAATTGGCTTTACTTGGCCAAAGAATGTTCAGGAGCATTTTCAAAGATGAGGGATTAATAAGGTCATGTTCAGCCAAAGGTTTCTGTGGGAGAACCCAATCTAGCCTAGCATGTGAAGTGTATAGTGTTTTTTTATTTTATTTTAAGGAAATTCAGCAGTGATCCATGCTTCAGTCCTTTTCTGTATAGGCAAGGCAAAAATCTAGAAAATTTTCTTTTGGAGAGTCATTTGGATCATGTATTCAAAACTAGGGGGAAAGCAGAGGGTGGATACTGAGCAGGTGGATTCAAATTAGGACAGCATCCCGAAGTTTCTCCTCTTCTCTGGGAAGTGGAAATACAAGAAATAAGTGGTGACTTTACAATTAAATACAACTGCCTTATTAAAGAGTGAGAGAGATAGGAGCTATTATGGGTTGAATTAGGTACTAAAGGTGACCTTGAGGCTCTTTCCATAGGAAGCAGAAATTCAGGATTGTTCTGATGAACACTGGGGTTTTTGGTTGCCTAAGA